CTCCTGACCAACTTGTTTCAATATTCCAGAGTTTGATAATTGTTTTGAGACTCTCCTATTAGCGTGCCTGTGTCGAAGCGTCCGCGTGTGCAAGCGTGTACCGGAGGCCTCGTCCGTCTCCCCGACGCCCCGCCAAGCCCTCGCCAGGTGGGCTTGGGAGTGGGCGTCGGTGTGCCGTCGTGTGTACCCTTCTGACCTGTTTACTGGCTGTAAATATCAGTTTTATACTCCACTTGAAGACCTGCGTGATTTGTAAGATGTACTTTATTTCTGCTACGAGTAATTTCACGAAGTTTCCACTTGCGAACCGAATTTTAGAGACAAACCCATACACACACACACACACAGAGAAATATCAAGAAGAAAAGCAAAGGACTTTGAAGGGACTTTGGGTTGACTTGGTTTGAATTTTGTGTCAAAGAGAATTTTCTGTGGCCAGAGACGTTCTTGTAACTGTCTGAGTTTCTGTAAGGAGCAACAAGGGACGTTCTCATGTCCAAAACGCCTCTCTTTGGTCTGAAGAAACTGAAAGTTTATTTAATAAAAGTTTTACTTGCTAAAGGACTGGTCCCCTACCCTTATTCTCTCACGCTCTTGCAAATAAAGGTGTGTGTCTAAAGTGTGGCTTCTCTGGGTACCTGGGCTAGAGATGTGGTTGTTTGGGTCTGTAACATTGACCTCTGGCTCACGGTGATCCCATGCACAGAATGTTGTCTGGACATTCACCATCCCCACCATCTCTTGTACATCAGACTGTTCTGACTCAAAGGGTTTTCCTTGGCTGATTTTCAGAAGTTAATCTCCAGGTCTTTCTTCCTAGCTCCTCTTAGTGTGAATGCTCTCCTGAAACTTGTTCAGCATTTTAGCAACACCAGCTACAGACAGAGTGGTGGCTGCAAGGGAGGTAGGTACGTTGACTGGAAATCAAATCCGCATCTCCTGCACAGGAGGTAAAACTTCTGCCACAGAACCACCACTGCTTCCTAGACTAGAGGTAAATCCAGATTTGGGGTGAGGAAGAAAGGATGCAGAAGGAGGTCTTCCAAGAAGAAAAGGCCCTGATACCTGAGATTCTCAATCAATCTGGAAGTTGAAATAGTATGTTATTTCCCAAGAACAAACATAGGCATTTTCTTGCTTGGTCTCACGCACATTCATTGATTCAACAAACTCCTATTGAGCACTTAATGTATATGTCTGTCCTTGTGCTGGTCACCAGGGACATAGTAGTGACTGCAATGTTTCTGGTCTTTTTTCCAGTGGGAAAGAGAGAGACTATACAACACATTATACATTTTAAAAATTGAGATAAAATTCACCACCGCAACCATATTAAAGTGTACAATTCAGTGGTACCAATTGCATTCACGATGTTGTGCCACCAGAACCACTATTTACTTCCAGAACATTCTCATCACCCCCAAAAGAAACCCCATACCCATCAACAATCACACCCCATTCTTTCTCCTCCAATCCCTGTTGATACCAGTGAGTCGCTAGGGTTTTGAAAGCTGTAAATCTTTGTGGGAGCAGAAAGCCTCATGTCTATCCTGTAGAGCGGCTAGCAAGCTTGAACTGCTGACCTTGTGGTTTGTGATCCAGTGCTTAACCTGCTGAGTCATAGGGATCCCCTCTCCACCTCCTAGGCAACCATGAATCCACTTTTTGTCTCTATAAATTTGCCTGTTCTGGACATTTCATATCAAAGGAATCATACAACTGTGGACTTTTGTGTCTGAATATGTTCACTCAGCATAATGCTTTTAAAGTTCACTCCTATCAGGACTTCATATTATAACTGATTAATACTCCACTGTGTGGACGAATCACGTTATGTGTATCTATTCAGCTGTGGATGGACACTTGGTTTGGCTATTGTGAAACATATGCCTAAA